AGCTCAGTTCTAAGATAATCTAATTGCTGGTGAAAGTTACTCAAACAAAGCTGGAGTCATTAGCCAGAGAATTGGTGTTAACTCCCAATTGTCGCGAACAGTGTGATCAAGACCTCACATTTTGGTAGAGTAACTAAGAGAGCCCAGGTGACAACACCAGCCTCAGAATGACAGGATTGGTCATGGTTGACTACAGCATTGTTTTTCAGAGGTCTGATTTGTCCAGGGGCTGGAATGAATGGTATGACTGCCTGAAATCTACCCAAGTGCTGCCCCATAATCCGAAACTCTTGGGTGTTAGCACATTTTCTTTAATACTCTAACTGAACCCACAGAAATGTAAAAACTGTATGAGACCTTATAGCAACAATAAGAAAACATTTGGTTTAGTGTGCTTTGGCGCCCACCGAAGGTCTCTGTTGTAAGACATAGTGCTATTACGCCTATGCCTCTTAGACAGCGTTTAGACAGAGGTTGTAAAGCTGGAAAGACTTTGAGAGACGCTAAACATAATGGTCGATTGACTCTGCAGGCCTATAGCCCGTTGTTTGTAAACTCTTTGCATGTTGAGTATGTGTAGTGTCTAGTGCTGTGGCTAAATGGCTACATTGTTGAGGGTTATTTATTATAGCTACTGGTTGAAATTATTTATTTATTTGTATGAAAACCTGACCCACAACTTGGGTTAGAAGACTTTCTGCACCCTGTACGCTGCTAAACATGAGACAACAATGACACCAATAAAAATACAGATTACTGATACTTTGAAATATGTTATAAATAATATCTGCAGGGATGTACGATCTGTTTCTTGCTTGGTCATTCTCTCTATTGTCTTCTCTGCTTCATCTGTCACCGTCCTCTTCCTCTTAGCCTGTATCAAAGCGTACAGAGACGGGTTAACTGGCTGCTTTATAACTGAAGGCTTCTGTGTGAACTAGTGCTGTAAAGCCGTACACACTTCTGTGAGATAACCTCGGCCCCGCTGCCAAAGTTACATACTGCAGTTAACACGAGATCGGGGTTGTGTTTTGGACATGGGATATACAGTATGCCATTCTCTCTGTTGAAAGTTATTTTGCTATCAAATTGAAATTGAAAGGACTATTTCAAGGTGGAAAAGTTACATATATTGTTGCATTAATGTTATATGTTAAAGTAGATATGGTTAACATATACTTAATAACACCTCTGAAAAAAGTTTGGCCACCCGGGTCAAAGAAAAAGCGCCCCTGTTGAAATACAAAACCTCATGATCAGAAATATTGTCAAAATATGTAGGTAGTTAATTTAACACACATAGAACTACACAGAATGATTGTGTTCACCAGTTAACAGCACTGTTTACAAATATCTGGAGGAAAACTAGCAACAAAAAAATAAAATAAACACTATTAGCCAAACAATTCCTCCCAAGTCAATATAAGCCAAGAACCAGAAATACAGTTGATAGTTGGAGATACACTGTTGTTGTATTAGGGATCACCAGAGACACAGTGGAGGAGGTTTTACCTTGACAACACTGTACATGCTGACCGAGGCATTATAATTGGTATTCTGAATCTGTGCTTGGACATCCCAAGAGATTACAGCCAGAGCCAGTGAGCTCTTAGTCGCCTAAGATTTCTCACAGTAGTATGAAATAATGTGTAACCACTAAACAGTATAAGGCAGTAAGATGCACCAGGGTCTGCTCATTAAAGAAGGGTTGCCTGTTGTTTGCTTTTACTCTAATGGCAAATTCAACATTTCCACCAGAAAACATTTTTTTTTAATCAAATCAACCTAATTAGATTTCTCTTTTGTGTGGACAAACTCAATTCAACCAATACTAAGATTGGATGTGCATGTTACATTTCCTTTCAGACAAAATACATTCCCATTAGCGGTTAAATATAGGTAACGATTACTGTACATAGTTTTATCAGATGTCTTCCCATGCTATGTTACTAAAGCCATTGCTTAGTATAGAGCAGTTGTGAAATAAGAAAAAGGCAATTTTCAGTCATACTAAGGTTTGAATTAACCTAAGGGCCATCTCTGTGAGATCTGTGCAGGCTTTGCTGGTTTTCTCTGTTGCCTCTAACTGTAAAATATATGAAAATGGAAAATGCATCCCTACAACATGAGCTAGCACAGATCCCACTGGAGTTGGGTATGAGTATACACTTGCTGAAATATAGACATGATGTACATGTCTGTTAGCACATTAGCACCTACTGAGCCCCTAAGCAATATCCATGACACCCGTGTGGTCCATCACTCATGTTTCACTTATTCTGCCTGATTGAACCTTGCCTAAGGACTGTGTGGGTTGACAATGCCTGTCACACCTTCGATTAGTTTGTAGCACCTTTTTGAGCAGTAGTGATCTGACATCTCCTCTTCTTATATCTGTTTTCAAAATCTCAGTCGCTAAATGAAACTAAAACATCTCAGGCCTTGCAATTGATGCTGAGAATGAAACGTATTTAAAATTCACAAAAAGACATTCTTGTGGGGCGCGCTGGTGGCGCAATGGTTGGGGCGTGCGCCGCATGTATAGAGGCTGTTGTCTCAAGCGGGAGGCCCGGGTTCTTACTTTTATTATTTAAATATTGAAAATAGTGTAATAAATTGATGTAATTTGTAACAAAACGGTTATTATTAATAAGACAATTAAACTACAATTATCTGTAAAACGACAGCTTTAATATAAGAAAAGTGCTTTGATAAATACTGTTTTTGTGTATTATAAGCTAAGAGCAGTTCGTTTAACTTAACCCTTGGTAAGTCAAATTTAATTGAAGACTTGATAGTAATGTGTGTGAACAAAATAAATGCTAACGTTAGCTACCGCTAGTTAGCTTGTTAGTTTGTTAGTTTGTTTGAACGTTCGTCAAAGCGGTTTTGATGTGTTGTGTCCGAAGGTGGCAGGCAGTGAGAGGCTCATTGTTGGAGCTGCAGTCTGCGTGCAGGCTGTGGTTTTGGCGGTGGACTTGCTATTGTTTGTAGCCTGATGTTGTAGTATGTTGAAGTGGCGCTGATCACAGGAAAAATGAATTGTTTACATATGGTTATGAATGAGTACAAACGCTGTAATCTAATGATCAAGCTAACTGTATTTATAGGTTCATCTGAATAAGATTACAAATGATTTGGTTTTTAATTTGTTTATTGAGAAGAATGTGGCATACAGTGTGTTTTACATTGTATTTCATTCTTTGTCATAGATGACAAACGCTGTGGATGTTTAATGTGTAATTTAAAGTTCAAGCATTAAAAAAGGCTTTTAACTGTTTTTGTCAAGGCCGGGTTTTTTTTGTGAGTTGGAGAAGAAAGATTCCACGATCCCTGTTTGTCTGCAACCTGCTCATCCTCCCTGGAGTGCTGTGGTCGTTTGCAGTCTGGCGAGCCATCCATCCGTTTTCGAATCCTGAAAGGAAGGAACAGTTTATTTTCCCATCTACGTTGGTGGTAGGACTATAGACTTTAATAGTGCATTTCTTTTCCTTTTTCCCATTGGAAAAACACAAAAAGTGGTTTAAACAACCATAAAGGACCCGAGTACATCTTTGTTGTTTGTTTTTTTAATTATTGTTGTCCATCTTGTGATTTGGGGATCTAGAAATATTTGAGGTTACAGTGATAAGTTTCCTTTATGCCACTGTAGAACGAATTTAGGTTTCAAAATAAAAGATCTAAAATAGTAAATCAACTAACCCCCATAATATTTAAAACATTAATCAAAACAAACTAGTATTAAGAAGGTCTAAACATAATAATAAAACCAAAAGTACCATGAAGTAAACAGCTTTAAACTAAAAAGGAGACTAAAACTGCCAAATAGGTATAGCTTAAGTTGCATAAACTAAGTAATAGGACCAGGACCCCTAAAAACCATCAAAACAAAGGTTTTATTGTGATCATATTGTTGAATGTTTGTCTGTGTTGTGAAAGGAAAAAAAGGAGTATTCTAACTGGTAAACCAACTAAAGTGGAAAAAAACTGAATAAATGTTCTAAATTGTACTTACCTTTCAAATGATCCCCTGTCTGTGTCTTGTTTCACCTGTGTCTGGTCGGTATCCATTTTCTCCTGAGCGAACCTAACTCCTGATGCGCTGGTCCAAGCTGAAATTCCTCTCATTGGCTGTATAGCGGTTTGATTGAAGTTTATACTTTATTCATATCTGTGCTCAGTATCCAAAAACAGAACCTTGGGTTACACTTGCCTTAGGGCTGCCAAAGACTATTTTCTTTTTTTTTTTCAAAACATATACAACAACCAAGATTCTGGAGTAAACGTAGGGGAGGCTTTTATCAATCTTGAGGTCTCTGTGAACTGTTGTGGTGCTGACAGATGTTTATATATGCAGCATTAGTACAGTTCAACATGCACAAAGCTCTTATCTGCTAACTGAGCATAACATTATGATCGCCTACTAGCAGAGTTATTTTATTTAAGTTTCTTTAGTAATCGGACCAAGAGTAAGAGATGTAAGAGATAACAGCTAAATAGTCTACAATAATAATGTGTTTTTTTCAGCAGTAGGTCCCTATCAATTACTCTTCTTGTATTACAGAAGAGTTACTCTCATTGGTTGCATTTAATACAGAAAACAAACTCAAACTTTGACACCCCAAAAAAATGTAATATAAAAATATTTTTGGGTTCATCTGTGACTGTCAATGAAAATATTTTCTACACTATAGACTGTAGTGCAGAATTGAAAAAAACAAAATGTTTTTTTTTAAATCTGAAAATAAATATGTTATTTGACTAGGTCTGCTGTCCAACAGTCATACCTTAAAGATAAGAAAAATCATGCTGGATTTTTTCTGTACTTGGACCTATAGCATGTGCAATCACAATGTTGTGGCACCCTCTAAGTAAACACTGTATCCTAGAGATGGAAGCCCAAGGTGGGCAGACAAGATACAATTCAGAGCCTACAGAGCTCAGAACAGACTCCATGCTTTAATCAAAGACAAAGGATCGATTGAATTTCCTTGTGTACATTGTGTTCCCTCAGTCCGACTGCACATGATAGGTATAGAAATAGAGGAAGCTAAGTTAAACTAATCCTAATTTCTCATTGTACATTATTGGTCCTGATGATGATATGATACAAGAGATGGAACTAAAATGAAGTCAGACAGAAAAGGGTCAAGAGTTTTGTGTTCTTTCATGAAGGCCATGCCGAACCTGGGATAAAAGAAGAAAAAAAAGGTGTACACTTTTAATTTCCCCACTGAGTGTTTTTTCTTTTACTTAGCAAATATCTTTTCATATTAGATTTCATTGCAAAATGTCAAACGAATAAAAGAAAGTTCCTTTACAATGCAAAGTGTGACGAGTACGCATGTCATTTGGTTATAACTGAAGGCTTCTGTGTGAACTAGTGCTGTAAAGCCGTACACACTTCTGTGAGATAACCTCGGCCCCGCTGCCAAAGTTACATACTGCATGCAACAAAGTATAATTTTAACACTATAGGTGTGAAAACACCCTTAGGTTCAGTTAATTAACATTCACAATTCACTGTCTGATAGGCAGCAAAGAGCAGACACAGTGGCCTATTTTATCTAGAGTTTAGATCAGGTCAAAAAAAATCTAGCCCGACCCTACCCACCCTTATGCATATTCCCTCTGAGCCCGGCCCGGCAGAGAATCTAACATCTAATTGTATCCACATAAAAGAAGAAGAGAACAAGACCACCACCAGCACATATGTTATTAACATGTATGTCTATCTGTTTGTTTAACAACATGGAACAGTTGTTGATTTGGTTTCTGCAGCACAACAAAGACTAGATAACATTTTTACTTTAATGGCAAAAATGGGGCCGCTATTTAATGCTTCACAACACAAGAAGAAATACATGTATATTAGATTGGCTAAACTCTGATTTTCAACTATTTTAAGCTTCTGAGAATCAAATGGACTGTGACAGACCCTCTACTTACCAGGTTTTTGCAAGAAGGCAGCTGGGAGGTTACAAGTTTGCTACTGTTGCAATGTTTTCCTGTCAAAATAGATCTTTTAAAAGAATAAGACCTGTTTAGTTATAAAGATTGTGGTCGTGCATATATGTGATTACAGTGTTTCTTGATTTTTTTCTACTTGATGTGGAAGTAGTTCTAGGCCTATTTGTGGGGATGCTTTTCCTTGTTTGCTCGGTGTCCATGTTGTCAGGTCTTTATTATTGTCTTTGAATGTTGGCTCTGTTGGTTTGGAGACGATGCAGCTGACTGAGTCCGAGACTTGAGTTATATCCTGACAATAATACTTCTATGTATTGATTTCCTAATGAAGCACAAAGTCTCTTTATTTTATGCTGCCATCTGTGACTTTGGTTTCAGATCTGTTCAGTTGATCTGAGGTGGGCTTATGTCTGTTCAGCTTGTGATATAGGTGTGAGCTGCCCACCACAGCAACTGTTGACCTTCAGTGTGTTGATGTGTATACAATCTCTACACTCGCAGACAAAGAGAAAGGCAAGAGATCCTTCCCCATGAGTGCGTATATAACACTGTTTGTTGTCTACAAGTCACACACACTTAGTGCTGTGAGCTCCTCAAGTGGGAATCCATTGAATCAGTGGCCAATGTGGGTGGCTTTGAAAATGAGTCAGAGCCATGCACATTAGTTTGAGACCGTAGACAACCAAACACAAGAGTGGAGATTTAATTCATCAGTCCTCTTAAATGACTGAAGATCTTTCCATTAAAAATGAAACACAATTCTACTGGTCAAAAAAAATAAACATAGATGAGAGTGGACAGGAAATGTTGAATGGTTAATCATCACAGTTCGGTTAGAGTTTAAAGGGATGTTTTGCTCGGTCCTAAAGTATTACATCGAAAAACTGGGGGTTCGATGGGGGTAACAAATGCTCCATCATGCTCACTTTACCAACCATAGCGGCAAAATGGATGAAATGGTGAAACCAACACAAAATTGTCATCCAGGAGAATCTTGATTGAGTTTTGTGCAAAGCTTACCCAAAGGTCATATTGTGATGTTCTTTAGTTAGGTCACATATGTCTGTGTGTATCTAATTTATACTTATTTCAACCCAAAACATTTTCTTTTCTTAACTTAACCAAACTTCAACTCAGACATGGACTGCATGTTTAAAGTCACTAGCACTTATAACTGCCATGTAGTTTTAGAAGATTTCATACATTTTTTTAAATGTCTTTTTAGGAGCCACTGAGAGTCGACCTTCACTGTCACATGATAAAGAGGAAGTACTCTTAAATTCACAATCCACAAGAACTGATGAGGACTACGATTGCTACTGGAGGCAGAATCCTTTACTGTTTGACACACATGGTCAATTATTCTGACTCAGTGTACTATCTTAAAGTGAACTCTAACAACAGCAATGTATTTCACCAAGACTGTCATGTCTTATTCATCAGAGCTCCTTACTCTCCATCTCACAACCATCCTGCTGCACTGCTGTTACTATGCAGCTCATAGCTTAGTCACTGTCCATCTGTTTCTGTAGAAACCACAGATAGAAAAAGGAGGAGTTGCAAACAGAGCCATTAAGGTTTCGTCCACTCTGATTTTACATGGAGCAGTAACAAAGTGCCTGAAATGACACTTTGTCACAGCCACGCTGTTTGTGCTTGTAAATGAGTTTGATACCCTTTTCATCATCAAGGTCTCCTTGTCACCAAGCTGTACACCAAATAAGAACATGATCAGATTTATGCCCCGGGAGAAGTACATCCAAGTATGAACCCTCGAAATTGGCAAAGAAACGCAGGCATTTCAAAACAGAGGACTTTCTGTTGAGTTCAGAGTTTGGGCATGTGGAACCTTTTTGTAGATTTTGACATGATACACATGCCTGCCAGATTTTGTACATGTGGCTGAAACAAACTGTTCGGGATCCCTTATACCTTTTCCTGTGATTGATTCGCTGAATTGTGTACTTTTTGTAATTGTAATTTTTATACCCAAGGATTACTGTGCACGACTCTTAATGTGTAAAGTTGAAATAATCTTAAACAACAATATTTTAGTTTTGGATTGAAATTTATTGCTTACATTTTTAGGATACTTATTTTTGTTTTCATAAATTCTAAATAACATAGTGAGACTGTTGTTGGGGTTTTGGGTTTTCAGAGGCTTTTAAAATGAGCATTTAAAGATCTCTAACAAGCAAACTAGTTTGACACCTTTTTGCCTCTCTGTGGCTTCCATTAGGATACGCTGATTGATTGACAACTAAATGTCGGATTTTGTGTTGAGAAATGTTTTTTGGTCATTGTGAATGCTATACGCTTGGACTGTCCACTTATTTTAATCTGTGATGTACCATCAGACAGTGATAAAAATGTATTTAATGCAACAAATATATATATTTTACTAGAATAATGCCTTTTGATGGTAAGTGTTGGTGCAGCTTTCTGTTCTCAAATATTACAATTACTGTAATGTACTGCAGCTCAATGCAGATTTTGTAGTTTTACATCAACCAAACTAAAGTAATTCAAGGTAAGCAAAGACACACAGGCTGAGTGAACACAATACATGAGAATAATAATTTACAAGCACGTACAGTAGTGGCTTGGTAATATATGTTACAATAACATGTCTTAGAAAAGGGAAGTTATTATATGCACATCATGTATTTGCAGGGCAATGCAAAAACAGCAAACTGAAGAAGATAGGCCCGAAGACTTGCTCAATATAACAAGGCTTAGCCACTTATGTACATCCCTGCATATTAGTTGTTTATGAGATTATGTTTTTCTGAGAACATTAGTTTGCAACTACAAAGCAAGACAACAGATAGAGGGGAATTAGTGAACAGATAATAAACCATGAGTCCCTCAGGATCCACTGAGGTGATCTCAAAGATTTTTCAGGTGAAGAGGGAGATTTTGTGGGTGGCATAGCAGGATAGAAAAAAACCTATCAGTCCAATCCATCCTCTTCAGGTAAAGAGGCAAACACTTGCTGTCTGTTACTGTAGTGATGCTCGTGGACTGTGAGCTGTGAATCAGAGGGGCCTGATGAGAGAGAGAAGCCACACCATTTTAATGTGAGAACACCACAAACAGTGAACTAAGAACAGATAGTCGATAAATTCCTACTTACCCATTTTCTTTCCTTAAAGGGGCGATATGTAACTTTCAAAAATACTGCGTTTGTAGCGAAACACTGGATATTTACCGACACAATGTTTACAGAGGAGGTAAGTGGTCATACACATGTGAAAGTCTGTGAAGGAGTCTGTGTGTCTGTATTCATTCTCCATCCTACAAACGACAGTCTCAGCAGGCACTGGCTGAGAGCAGGAGTGTGTGATGAGTTTGTCCGCCTTTGAGAGCTCCTAGAGCGGATAGAAGTGTGTGGAAGTCGGCCTCTGGCTGTGGAGGTGAAGACCGGGAGTGTGTGATGAGTTTGTACTGTTGATCTCTGTAAGCGGAGCGGATGAGGAGGATGTTGAGAACGTTTCGCGGAAAATACGACCCGGGGAAACTTTTTATGCAGGCAACACAGATAGACAGTGAACATCTACTTTTTCACATCAGTTAACCGTTTGCTTATTAATGGGTGATAAAAAACGATTTATACATGTAAAAAGTTACATATAGAACCTTGAAAGTACTCCATAAGTGTAATGTGCGATGATTTCAAGTCTATTTAGCTTAAAAAAAATAAAATAAAAAAAATCGGTGTATTGTTTTTTTTTTTTGATAGTCTCGTTGGTAAAGCAGCAGTCCCTTCTGACCAGAGACCAGGCCCAAAAGCTTTAATGCTTTAGAAGGAATCTCTCCCTCCTGCAGAAATTAATAGCAGATTTGAAAACGGTAAACATTGGCATGATGGAGCTATCTACACTAATCTTTTTTTTTTTTAAATGCTCAAATTTAAATTTGATTAAGATGGATTTTACTGTTATAACACAAAAAATAAACAAAAAAGATGGGCTGGAGATTTTCCAGCTCCCTGTGATGCCATGTGATGAACTTAATGTCCAAATTTGTCTTAGACTCAATGTTGCTCCACAATAGTGTTAAAGGTGTAACCTAAGTGATAAGGGCCAGAGCTCATTGACATCATTAGTTGGCATGAGGCATGGTAATTAAAGGCAGTGAGACAAAGATACCACTTTAAGGATATACTTAGGTGTAACCTCAGTGATGAGGGCTAAAGCTCCTTGACATCAATAGTTGGCATGAGGCATGGTAATTAAACGCACCGTATGTAAAAGGAGACTCGCGGGGAATCATGGGAGTGATTCTCTCTGCTACCCACCAGTGAAAATGACCTCCGTGTTGATAGTAGTCAATACGAACGGGCGAAACCGACCTGAGAAAGAGAATATGTTTACTGACGATGTATCCAAGTATTATTTACATGACATTTTTATCACAGCAGCAAATACAGCAACAGTAAAGCAGCAGCTCCCACTTCCTTCCACAGCGGTCTTTGACGTAACATCCGGTGTTTCCTTGACAAAGACTAACATTTCGTGTCTGTCATGGCGGCTGCTGCCACAAGAACAGTCCCGTTACAACTTTAAAATTATAGATTTCTCTGGTTTTATAACTGTTGGAAATATTTGAGGTAATGCAAGTACTCAAAAAAAAAAAAAACATAGGCTTAGTCAATTTTTAATAAATTTAGATATTTGAATGTAAACATTGTCCTTCAAAGGCAGTGAGACAACAATTCCACTGAAAGGATCTATTATTCTGACAATGGTACCTTTAACTTTGTTACGTAGTGTTTCTGTACAAGTGAAAGAAGGTTAATGACATGAATGCTTGCCTTAATAACAAAATCAGACTAACTATGCTCAATTATTATTAAAGAAGCTAAATGATCAAGAGTTATCTTAAAACAAAGGATAAATCCTGAGTTACACAATAAATCTAATCAGCAGAATCTCACCAAACTAATTAACTGAAACCAATGACTCTCTTTTGATGCACTCAACAAAGAAAGGTGGACTCAGGTCTTGTCAGCTCAAGAGAAACTTGAAAAAGGGGCCTCCTCTTTATAGGAGTCTTGATTGGGGTGAGTGGATTCACCTGTGGCTGATTGATGTAGCTGGCACAGGTGTGCACATCGCTCCTCCTTGAGCTCAGGGAAATCATGGCAGACATGAACAATCTTAACTGTAGTACTACTATAAAAAAATACACATAATGTGTACTTTAGTTTATATATATTAAATGACTAATTATGTTTACTTTTGTGTTGTAATGGCAATCATTGAGGGTCTGGAGCTTGATATTATTGAATGCAAGAATGGCTGATAGTGTATGTGTGTGCTCAAAATTCAAGATTCACACTCATACTTCTTCACTATGAATTAAAAAAAAACATTTTATAAGCACTTGCATAGTATTGTCATTACACTCCCTACATTGATTTGTCCATCATATTAGTTTCATTCAATGAATCATATCAACCTCCAGATACTGTCTAAGTCAGAGACTCTGCTATGGTGGTTACATTTTCAGTGCTGTTGGCCTTGGTAGAGTTTGAATAGATAGTTTCTTATTCTCCATCTTGCTTCAGTGTACGAATGCACTACGTTTAAGATGCAAATGAGAGAGGACAATCAGCAACACAGTCCCTGTAGAGGCTCTTAAATGTCCTCCAGAGGCACTCTGATTATTTATGTTCAATGAGAGAGAGAGAGAGAGAGAGAGAGAGAGAGAGAGAGAAGATGAGCTTTTAAGTCAGAATTGCTGCAAAGGCAGTCTTAAGATGTGGAGGTGTTCGTGTGGGACAACTTTCTAAAGCTTTATGAGTGTCTCAGTGATGCATATCTACTATTAAAAAATATGGATGACAGTGCTTTATTTGTATAAACACGCCCCCATACTCGTACTTGATTAAAATATGTATTCATTTGTATTTATAACGAGATGTTTTTTGTAAAAATCATACATTTTTTTGTCCGTGTAAAAAATGTGTTTTCTTTATTTTCAGATCTGCACTGTCTTATGATAAAAGGTTTTTCTTTATGCATCATAACCAAATGCCACCATCAAAGGTTATCTTTTTGTCAACATGGTATTTCCCATCAAAACAAATCCTGTGTTTTGAGACTTGTGAAGGCAGTTCTATGAAAGGAATCATTAGACTGGAATGATGACAGACATTGTGGCTTCCCCACTCCGATGCCTTTGCTGACTTCTACAAACAGGAGAGGTTGTTGGTTCTCCTTCACATCAAAGTGGATTTATGTTGAATTACCCTTTCAGCAGCAGGTGTGCATTAGGATCAAAAAGTCTGCAACAACATGACAACCCAGCTCCGCCCTTGGTTCATATAGATAGCTTGGCCAAGTAAATAAAAAAATGGAGGAGTTTGCAGGATGGTACCTCTTTATGTTAGTGGTACCCCTACTTCCCTGGCAATCAAATATGTGATCAGAGAGGCAAGTATCGTTATTGTTTTGTTTTTTTGTGTGGTGCTCTTTTAGCTTGTCAATGCTGTTATTGTGTAACTTAGTTTATAAGAAAAGTGTATCCTCTATATTTTACTTCCCGGACATATAGACATCACCAGTCCTACTTAAAAAAAAAACTGTATTTGAAACAGTATTCACAGCAGCATCCTGCAGCCTGTGCTGTGGGCTTGTGTAATTTTCTGCTGTAGATTCACCTTGATACATATATATCAGATCGTGACGTACACATGTAGACAGAGTCATTTTAATGCCTGATACAAACAAATCCTCATAGACCTATCCTTGGAAATATGCGAATACAAACATTGCATTTGAAAATATGGATGACAGTGCTTTATTTGTATAAACACGCCCCCATACTCGTACTTGATGAAGAAATGAAAGGCGATGCCATTGGTTGTTTGTTTGCAGTGAGTCCAATTACAGTGTAGAGTAAAAGGGCTTGCTTGTTATCAAGAATAGGACTCACGAGAGCTTTGTAGTTTTATCAGGCTCTTGCTTTTGAGTGTTTGCGAGTGAATTATTTTGGGTCTACAGGCCACTTCTCCATTTTCTTGACTCACTCTCTCTCATCATCCCTGTTCCCATTCACAATTTTCTGATCAACTCAAACTTTCAAAATGTACTATATTATTAAGTTAGTGTTTTGTTCAGCTGCTTAAAACTAGATGTTAAGGAATCTTATTTGTTTATTAAGGGTTTTTTTCAAAGATTCAATTTTGGGCTTTTGTGCCTTTATTGTAGAGACAGGACAGTGGATCGAGACAGGACAGTGGATAGAGACAGGACAGTGGATCGAGACAGTTGAATACACACACAAACATTCTCGCCTTGCAAATGTATTTGCGCTAAATCTAATATTACAGTTCCTTGATTCTTTGGCTTCTCACACATCTTTGCCAGCTTTGCATCTTCTGAGTGGGAGGCGTTGTGTGTGTTTTAGGACATTGCATCTTCACTCAGAGACGGTCAATGGCCAAAGCGCACCAAACCAAATTCCTATATTTTGTTACTTTAAAGGCCACTGCTGAATAAGCACAGTCCCCCCTTGGTTTTAGGGACAACAAGAAAAATTGATCAGCAGGGCACATACTAGACCTCAATTAAATGTAAACTTGGTAGAGGTTAGAGATGTACAGCCATTTAAAGATAAACAATTTAATCTTAAAATCAATTCTCAAACGAACAGGGAGCCAGTGGAGGGAGGCCAGGGTCGGGGTAATGTGTTCAGGGCCAGGCTTATGAGTAGCTGTTAAAAGACAAACAGCAGCATTTTGGACTAATGTTAGACAGCAGTTTATAAAAAATAAAGAAACACACTATCAAAGTCCAAACAGAACACAAAGCAAACAGTCTTTTAAAAGACCAGTGTAAGATATCTACTGAATCAAATAATAAAATGACCTTACTACATCATCAGACATTAAGGAAACATGCTGTTGAAGTGCTGGCTTCTCTGACAGCAGTGCAGCAGCCAGTATGTCCTCCTCCTGAGTTTCCGGTCCAGTACAGAATTGTCTGTATTTGTTTTGACAAGAGAAGGTAGACAGTCTTAAGGCAACCCCACAGGCGCCATTTTGGACACCACTTGGTTTGACAGATATGAGACCAGGTATCACAGCAAATCAACAGGTGTTGCAGCGATGGAAGCGGGCAAGCGAACTGGTTCAGATAAATTAAAATGACCTGAGAAGCCTCAGCATTTTTCTAATAAGGGTCCAGGACGAGAAACGTGGTACAACTAGAAAAACTATTGGAGATGCTTTTTAAAAATATGAAGAGAAGTGAGAAAGGTTTCAAGACCGGTGCAGAGCTGGCTAAAAAGAGAAGCTTCCAAGCTTCCGTGTGTGTGCCCGTTGACTCTAGGGAGGAGGGGGCAGGGGGAGTCAGCTCTCTCCAGTGTTTTGAATTTGCATTGCAGTACAAATTTGAAACGCTAGGTGTCAGGGTTACATATTGCTCCTATAAAGTATAAAAAGTTCATCTTCTTACTGGTTGCCTCTTCAGTTGAGCAGATCAACTTTCTTTGATCTCTGCTTTTTGTAGGTGCAGTTTGCTTCTCTTCGGATGCTGTGTTCGTCTTTTTTGGTGATCCAGGTCAAGCGGAAACCTCTGTTGTGAAAAAATTTAGCCAACACCGTGCAAAAAAACTGCCATTCCTTAAGTGTTCACTTGAGGCTGGCTCCAAAAGACTCGGAAGTCACATACACACACCCCATATTCAAATTTTGGATTTGAGAGCAGAAACTAACATGTTTACAGCCTGGCACTAAAACGATTTTGATGATCTTATTAGTTAATGTCTTCATTGGCACACACTGTACAGGGTCTGAATTGTTTTATAACTCTCCCGTTTTAATTTAATGAGGGATATGCATAATTAGGGGCATGACAGATCTGACCGCAAGCGGACATGTTGTTGCAGTTTGTCAGGAGATTTAAGGCCCGCCTCAGCTCCGCCTCTTTGCCGGTTGTTAGGTTGACCAGAAGTTTGATAGAGTCAGCATTTATATGGATATGTTTCCAAAACGATGCAATCAATCTACGGTTTCTTTTTTAAATTTGATTTTACTTTTGCCTATTTATTACTGAAATTAAACATGGATTGATATTTTATTGTTTAGTCTCCTTTGTGATGAGATCCTCACTTTTAAACAATTTTCCAGACTCTTATTGAAACACTGGAAAAAGGACCAAGCTAGGTCAAATCCCTCAGCGCTTCCTACTGTGTCCATTTTAGTTAACAAGATGTCTTCTTTTGTTTATCCTGCCAAAGAGAATCAATATGAGGTTGAAACATGTCCTCCCTCTCTGGTGACACAGATGCAACGTGTACATCCCTTGTGCTGCTTTCATTCAGCCTTAAAGCAAAATACTTTTAATAATTAAAGAGGCGGCAAGGTGCAAATGAAAAGCAGAACATTGTGTTGCTTCAAAGAGACAGCTCCTACTCTGAATTTGCCGTTTCTCTTTTATTTTCCTATAAGCAGTCTGTCCTCTTGGACTCTTATTCCTCAACGTTTAATGAGTTTTTCCCCGTGCGAAATGATAACTTGGAAATAGGAACACACTGTTCTGTAACGATTTAGTGAATAGTGGAAGTTAAATTGTGATTATTTGAAAAATAAAGCCCCCTCCCACAAAAACCCCAATTGATGTTTCCTTAAGCAGGAGTGTTTGGTTTCTACCTGAACACGTGTCTGTATTTGTGATTGAAATTGACTGACTTTCATTTTCTAAAGCACCAGATTATGTTATCATGACATCAGACACTGGTACAGCTCTTTAAATGTAAATATTTTTAAATACATGTTTGTGGATGTGTGAAAGTTATAGCCTTTGATCCATTGGTGTTCATGTAGAATACATTGGATAATGTTGAAGATGTGCAGTAATTGTGAATTCCCCCTCTTAACAGTGAGAATAAAAAAAAAAATCTGAGTTGGATTTTTGAAGCCAGAAATGGAAACCTTCAGCTATTGAACAGCACCTCCATGTGTCCATGAGTGATCACTACACATTTTTGTCGCTGTTCA